TGAGATCATTTATTCGCGTGTCTGTCCCTTGCGATGGGATTTTGTAGGATGAACGGTGACCAGTGAGGGCTGAATTGGCCTGCTGTGATAAGGTAGGGCACTGATGAGGGCTTGACAGGTATGGGGGTTGGCCTACGCACGGTACTGCCGAAAGAATTTGAACGTACAGAGTGTTTGTCGCCTTCGGGACCGTCCATAAATGACGTCACGCGATTGTGGACGATTTTTGACCTCCCCCCCCCCCCTTCGTCACACGGCGTCACAAAATGTCAGACCCCCCTCAAATATGACGTCACAAAGCTCTGCCCCCCCCAAAAAAAATATAGAAAACATGCTTCTAATCGCTTTAAACTATTGCCATTGTAGTGCGTATTTAATGTGGCGCTGCACTCTGATGTCGTAGGAGAAAACATTTATTAAAAAGTTTATTTAATTAAGTAGAACGTTTTGATTTAAAGCTTTCGTGACTGCAGGGATTCATATTCTTGGTTCTTTCAGTAAAGTCACCACCACGTAGAAGGGAAACAATAAAATAATAAAAATATAAAACAATAACGTTCTCACGACGTTTCGACTGCAACACAAGAAGCAATCATCATCAGGTGTGAAAACCACAGCAAGAAAATTTGAAAAAAGTGGCGGTTATTTTTAACGTTAGCACCACGGAGAGCGATTTGAGAGTTTGTTCAGATGGACGAGTCCATCTATGTTCGGAAAAGAGGAGGGGGGAGACGAAAATAATGGATGCGGTCTGAAAGCTACCTTAAGCGTGATCAATCAATTAAAACCCGAAATGGTTTATCAAATCCTTCCAATGATTGCTAAGCCATAATCCATCTTCTCGGTTGAAATTGTCTCTGTGTTTGTATATATGGATAGCCTCATGAACGAATCTCTCATGGTAGCCAGATTGCTTGCAAAGAACCTCTGTCTTGGAGAAGTCAATGTCATGTGAGCCTACTGAATTATAACAGTGATCTGCCACGGCCGAGGTGTTGGTCCTACCGTGTTTTATTGTTTCCCTTCTAAGTAACTTTACCGAAAGAACCAAGAATATAATTAGAAGGTGTTGTCTATATTTATTTAAAGTTGCGCATTTTGATGTGACGTCACATTTCTCAACCTCACCCCCCCCCCCCCCATCGTCACACATCGTCACAAATGTCTGACCCCCCCCCCCTAGGTGCGTGACGTCATTTATGGACGGCCCCTTCCGTAGACAGACAGAACGTTGAGGAGCGGATGCTGCTGTTAGTGAGCACCTATTAAAGCCAACGCAGTACACGCGAGTGGGTGGGCGGGTAGGTTGGTCAGCACTGCAAGCGCTGATATTTTGAAACTCTGTGAGCAGATTCTCACTTTTCGGCCGAGGTGACCTTAGGGGGATGCCCGTCAACATTTCACGAAGTCGCCAATAATATTGGCCACGTGATGGTAATGTACGCATCGCACCTCATTTCATCGCTGAGTCTACCTAGGATTTTATGACTGAGCCGAGCTAAGATTTTATGGTTGAGGCGAGCTGAGATTTAATGGTTGAGTCGAGCAAAGATTTTATGGCTGAGTCGAGCTAAGATTTCATGGCTGAGTCGAGCTAAGATTTTATGGCTGAGTCGAGCTAAGATTTTATGACTGAGCCGAGCTAAGATTTTATGGCTGAGTCGAGCTAAGATTTTATGGCTGAGCCGAGCTAAGATTTTATGGCTGAGTCGAGCTAAGATTTTATGACTGAGCCGAGCTAAGATTTTATGGCTGAGCTGAGCTAAGATTTTATGGCTGAGTCGAGCTAAGATTTTATGGCTGAGTCGAGCTAAGATTTTATGGTTGAGTCGAGCTAAGATTTTATGGCTGAGTCGAGCTAAGATTTTATGGCTGAGTCGAGCTAAAATTTTATGGCTGAGTCGAGCTAAGATTTTATGGCTGAGTCGAGCTAAGATTTTATGGCTGAGTCGAGCTAAGATTTTATGGCTGACTCGAGCTAAGATTTAATGGCTGAGTCGAGCTAAGATTTTATGGCTGAGTCGAGCTAAGATTTTATGGCTGAGTCGAGCTAAGATTTTATGGTTGAGTCGAGCTAAGATTTTATGGTTGAGTCGAGCTAAGATTTTATGGCTGAGTCGAGCTAAGATTTTATGGGTGAGTCGCGTTAAGATTTTATGGGTGAGTGGGTGAGTCGACCTAAGATCGGTTCGGGTATCCCAGTGCCATTAACCTCATCCAACCTGAATGACCGCACACACACACACGAATAAAACCCCAATATGTCGCCACGGTGGCTAGGAGATGTTAACTACCTCGCCTGGTATGGAGGATGTTGTGGGTTCGATCCAGACCCTGACGCCTGCTGTACATTTGGAGTTTGCGTGTCTCTCTGTTTCATCATCACCACGGTGGTTATGAGATGTTAACTACCTCGCCTGGTATACAGGAGGTAGTGGGTTCGATTCTGACCCAAACGCCTGCTGCTGTATATTTGGAGTTTTGAGTGTCTCTCTCTCTCACCATTACAGTGGCTAGAAGATGTTAACGACCTCGCCTGGTATCAGGAGGTCGTGGGTTGAATTCCGACTCAAACGCCTGCTGTATATTTGGAGTTTTGAGTATCTCTCTCTCACCATCACTGTGGCTAGGAGATGTTAACAACCTCACCTGGTATACAGGAGGTCATGGGTTCGATTCCGACCCAAACGCCTGCTGTATATTTAGAGTCTGCGTGTCTCTCTCTCACCATCACGGTGGCTATGAGATGTTAAGACCTCGCCAGGTATACAGGAGGTCGTGGGTTCGATTCCGACCCAAACGCCTGCTGTATATTTGGAGTTTTGAGTGTCTCTCTCTCACCATCACCGTGGATAGGATATGTTTACTACCTCGCCTGGTATACAGGAGGTCGTGGGTTCGATCTCGACCCTGTCGATGCCTACTGTACATTTGGAGTTTACGCCTCTCTTTCTCTCCCCAAGGGCGCTTAGTGTATTTGGCTGTGATAACTTTCCACATTATGATAAGTCACTTCGGTGAGGCTATTTTTGGTGATAGCCAAAGACAACAAAATAAACACAACAACAAGCAGTTCTAAATAAATGAGTTTGTCAATCTACATGGCGATTTGAAAGTACATAGCTCCCAGTGGATTTCTAATATCGGGAGAGCGTTCCAGACGGACGCATCATCAACATCACCACCATCACCACCACCATCAACGTCAACATCCCCCAATTCGTCATCACGTAGCAAACCGCGTCAATAGGAGGTTAGTGGCGGGAGGGGAGAGGGGGAGAAGAAACTAAACACAAGAAGAAGTTCTAAAGAAATGAGTTGTGATAAAGAATTAAAGCTTTCGTGACTGCATAAAATTAGTCATTGTTTTTTTCGGTAAAAAGTCACGTCTACATACGTGAGTTTACCGAAAAAACCAATGAATAAACGAGTTGTGATGAAACTCGGTCAAGTGTAGCCAGTTGATGGTCTAAACCCGGTCACCAATGACTCATATAAAGATCCATAGACTCACACAGAGATCTACAGAGACTCGTAGACTCACACAGAGACCCACAGACCCACACAGAGACCCATACACTCACACAGAGACCTGTAGTCTCACACAGTGACCCACAGACTCACACAGAGACCCACGGACTCACACAGAGACCCATAGACTCACACAGCCATAGACTCACACAGAGGATCCATAGACCCACAGAGATTGATAGATTCACATAGAGACCCCATTGACTCAGAGACCAATAGGCTCACACAAATGACCCATAGACCCACACAGGGTCCAATAGACTCACACAGAGACCCATAGACTCACAGATACTCCATAGACTCACGCAGAGGACCTATAGACCCACACAAAGACCCATAGACCCACACAGGGACCCATAGACTCATACAGAGGACCCATAGACCCACACAGAGACCCACAGATTCACACAGAGACCCCGTGGACTCACACAAAGACCTACAGACCCACATAGAGACAGACCGACTCACACAGAGACCCAAACACTGATTTGTCATTAAACTGCCTTCTAAGCCTTGAACAAATAATACCAAAAAAAACCCCATTGAATAAAAATTCGTTCTGCATTTAACTTTGCAAAATTTTTGCTCCGCGGTATAAAAAGTAAGCCGATTAATCACGGCCGATGATGAAGTCATTGTGATTGATTGGAGCGCACGTGGCGAATTAACCACGTGGCTAATTAACCACGTGGCTAATTAACCACGTGGCTAATTAACCACGTGGCCCCTCCGAGTGTTATTGTTGTTGTCACGTGACGCAGAGCTGCACGTGCGCTCGAGCGGAGGGCGGATGTACGTCATATCCGGAGTCGTTGGTTGAGTTGCCATATAAGGGCATAGCCGCGACAGTGGGAGGAAGGGGGTGGAAGGGGGGGTTTAGAGGTAGGGGTGGGCGAGAGATGTGAGGGAGGGGGCCGGAAAAAGTCGAGGGGGAAAGGCGGGGGTGGGGGCGTGAGGGAGGGGCCGGAAACGGTCGAGGGGGGAAGAATATTTCGTTTGTGTTATATAATTATGATTATATAATTATGATTATATAATTGTATTATATAATTATGATTATATAATTGTATTATATAATTGTATTATATATAGTTTTATTATTTTGTTACTCTCTATTATTATGTTTTCCCTTATTGAGGCCGCGGTGTAAATTGGCCATCGGCCTACAAATAAAATTCAGCAAAATATTATAATAAGTGGTGGCGGCGTCGGGGGGGGCGGAATTGGCAATGGCGAGTGAGGAGAGCCTGAGGGGGCCGGAAGGGGGGCCGGAAGGGGGGGGCCGGAAGGGGGGGCGGAAGGGGGGGCCGGAAGGGGGGGGGGGCCGGAAGGGGGTGCGGGGGGGGAAACCGATGGACTGGGGGTGGGGGCGGAAGAGGTGCAGGGGAGCCGATGGCTATGGGGGGGTGGGGGCCGGAAGCGCTGGAGAGGGGCGGCGCGTGGTGGGTGTAGGGGGGGTCCTTATCTCGCATCAGGAGTTCCGCAATATAAGCACCGCCTGCGCGCATTGCCACATTTGGCGTCCGTCACGCGCTGTCGCCGTCGCTTGCCTCCTCCTCCTCCGCCGCCTGCGGCTGCTGCTGCTGCTGCGGCTGCTGTGTCCCCGCTGCCGGGTCGCCTGCCGGCTACCATGTGGGGCTCGCCGCTGCTGCTGCTGAGCCTCTCGGCCATCCTTCACTTGGCCTCGGGGTCACAGTCGCCTCACACGGCTGACGACGATGTCCGCTCAGGTTTGTTGTGGATTGCTGCGCGCGTGGTTGACGGCGGTGGTTGTGGTTGACGGTGGTGGTTGTGGTCGACGGTGGTGGTTGTGGTCGACGGCGGTGGTTGTGGTCGACGGTGGTGGTTGTGGTCGACGGTGGTGGTTGTGGTTGACGGCGGTGGTTGTGGTTGACGGCGGTGGTTGTGGTTGACGGCGGTGGTTGTGGTTGACGGTGGTGGTTGTGGTTGACGGTGGTGGTTGTGGTTGACGGTGGTGGTTGAGGTTGACGGTGGTGGTTGAGGTTGACGGTGGTGGTTGTGGTTGACGGTGGTGGTTGTGGTTGACGGTGGTGGTTGTGGTTGACGGTGGTGGTTGTGGTTGACGGTGGTGGTTGTGGTTGACGGTGGTGGTTGTGGTCGACGGTGGTGGTTGTGGTTGACGGTGGTGGTTGTAGTTGACGGTGGTGGTTGTAGTTGACGGTGGTGGTTGTAGTTGACGGTGGTGGTTGTAGTTGACGGTGGTGGAGGCTCGTGAAGGACGCCGCTGCTGCTGCTGCAGTTGTGAGGCAGTCGCCAGCTCCAGCAACAACGGAAGGCGGGGAGGAGCCACGCTGCTCACAACAACGAGCGGAGCGCCGGGTGGATAAAGCGCAACGAGTTGGCACAGTAGGGGAGGGGTGGGCACAGGTGGTGCATCGGTCGGTCGACCCGTGGCACCTGCTGGGTCTGCCCCGTGACCTCCTGCCGGCGTGCGTTCGACACCTCGCGTGGCCTCGACGTGCACCTAGCCTGGCACGGGCGTCGTGGTGACGTCACCGCCACTTGCGAATGGCGATTAAAGTGGTGGTTGTGGTTGGAGTTGTGGTAGTTGTTGTAGTGTTATCTCAATCGTCATCAGAATTTGTAATACTGCATGAGGAATCCGATGAGCTACAAAGCTCTTCATTCACTGATGTTCAGTAAGGGGTGGGGGTGGGGGCACGGAGTAAGAACGTTACGACAACAATACACAGTGCGCAGATTTGCTCAAATGAAGGTGAACAAGTCGCTTTAAAAAAAATACACAAAACGAAACTCTTTTTGTGTATCTTAGCAGGCAAAGCCCACCGAAGCATTCAACTGATTTTTTTTCAGAAGCCACCTGAACATGACAAATGGTCACCTCGACAAAGTATGGCTTAAAGGTCGTGATCTAAGCGTGGCTTTTTTCACTCCAGCGCTGTCCTCCAGACAGTCTCGTCCCTTCACCTGATGAAGGCCGCTTGTGTTGTGGCCGAAACGTCGTGATTTTTGTTATTTTATTTTTTACCTACGTGACTTTACCCAATAGAACCAAAGAGGTATGGATCCTAGCAGTCACGAAAGCTTTAAATCTAGAAAAGTATGGCTTATTATCATCATCATTGTGGTGTGGACATATTATACCTGGCCAACCCAAGGCTGTGCAGTCAACACTGAGGGGGACCAAATCTTCCAGGGGGTCTGGGGGGGTACCCCTCCCAACCCCCCCCCCCCCCCCCCCCCCCCCCCAGAAAAAAATCTAAATTAAACTCATTTCCTGGCAAAAAATTTGAAAAATTCACTAAAACTTCGGATGGACTTTTTTTTTTACAATAATGTCTAATAGTGTTATTGTATTTACATTGCTCTGTTTTTTCTTGTTTCATTGTATGTAATGGCAGAGATTGGGGATTACTAAAGTACAACCATAACCACAATCATATTAACAGAAATCTATTTATAGCAATATATTGGGGGGGATGTGACCCCCCCCCCCCCCCCCCAAATATTTATTTTAATTACGGCCTTGGGTCAACCCCTTATCAGTGCCCTACCTTATTTCAGACCTTATTGGTCACCCCGTGCCCTTATAAATCTCAACGTTCATCCTACAAAGTCCCGTCACAAAGGACAAACACAAATATGTAATCTAAATAAATGTTCCAGTATTGAAACGGCTGTACGCCGTATGGACCTGAAAATTCAGTTTCCCCTGTACAAGAATGCGGGGTGAACCGTATGGGCCGACGGATATGAAATGCATAGCAGCAAAATAATCTTAAATAATATCATTGTCATGTTTCTAAACTGAAGCTGCTGCTACCTACTGTCTGACGAGTTAACATTTGTTCAACACAGGTAGGTTTTCGCGACGAATTTAATAGTTTAACGGCACTCGTATCTACGCGATATAACCCCCCCCAAAAAAACCTTACGGATAAGAGTTAACATATTTCTAGATTTAAAGCTTTCGTGACTGCTAGGATCCATACTCTCTGGTTCTATTGGGTAAAGTCACGTAGGTGAAAATAAAATAACAAAAAATCACGACGTTTCGGCCACAACACAAGCGGCCTTCATCAGGTGAAGGGACGAGACTGTCTGGAGGACAGCGCTGGAGTGGGAGAAGCCACGCTTGGATCACGACCTTTAAGCGCTTGGTGTTTTTCTTCTCACACAGCTTAAAGGTCGTGATCTAAGCGTGGCTTCCCTCACTCCAGTGCTGTCCTCCAGACAGTCTCGTCCCTTCACCTGATGAAGGCCGCTTGTGTTGTGGCCGAAACGTCGTGATTTTGTTATTTTATTTTCACCTACGTGACTTTACCCAATAGAACCAAAGAGTATAGTTAACATATTTGTTTATTGGTGGGTGCTACTGGTTTGCCTGATGTGCACATTCTGCACCTCGCCAACACCTGGTGTAGAGCAAAAGGAACGTAAGAGGTTTTTTTTGTTGGGTTAAATCGCAAAAATATAAATGTGGTGTCGTTAAGCCCGCAACCACCCGACAGTCAATCAGTAAGGGGTTTGTCACGTAAACAAAACGTGGCCAATTCTTTACTAGTGCATCACTAACCACTACAACATTTACAATTGTAGTTTCAAGTTTATTTATTAGGTACAGCCCTGTGAGCCATGTGGCTCTTGATTCGGGTGCAATCGCGACAAACAAAAGCATGAACACACAAGATCTTAAAATGATGACGCACAACAGAAACATCCGGGGAAAACCAGCAAAATCTTCCAGAAAAAAAAACACCGTCTAACAAGGCTGTGTGCAAAAATCCCAATGGGATTTAAGTAAAAATAAATTACCAAAAGATAATTTAGATTAAAGTTATCGGGCTAACTCAGTACTTCAACAAACAAACATGGTTTAACCATAGGAATTGTGATTTTTAAAATGTAACAATAAACGATATACATAACATGTACAAAAAAACCCCACTTTGTAGCCATAGCCACTAGCACGAGTTACTCCATAACAGCACAAATATCAGCAGTAGTAGTATCGTACTATATCAATGCATCTTTTTGGATCAGCACACGATGATTAAAAACTTAAAAATCATACTTTACGGGCCACTCGGCAATAGCAGTCGCCGCTGCGGGTGCACAGCTTTTCGAGCAGTTTTGAGTGCAGATATTCGTAGGTAGCGATCCAACTTTCGGTTTATCGGCGATAGCATTCCAGACCCTTCCGCCAGTATTTGTACGGCAATAAGGAATGTGAAGCTGGTAAATGAGCGAGGACCTTTGGGTTACATTTGTTCTTCGACACAACAGTGAGGAGGAGATCCAGCAGGTAGTCTGCTGATTTTTTTTGTGAATTCATCGTGAATAAATAAGATCTGATGCACAAGCCGTCGATCATTAAGAGATGGTAAGGTTGACCCAATGTGTAGAGTGCAGTGGTCGGTCCTTTATGGGCAGTTCAATGCAAATCTTAAAGCCGAATGATGAATTGGGTCAGGCTTCTTCAGTACAGTACTGGAGGCTGATTTATATACAACGAGCTTTAGTACCCGGACTCGCCCCAGACTTGGATTCTTGTCTTGGATTAATACACGGCCTACGCAGATGGTGGGGAGGAGGGGGGGGATGCGTGACGTCAGCAGGCACACTGCGTGACGCTGCCGCATGCGGGTGACATCACAGATGTGACGTCACCGCTCGCTTGCCGTGAAAAATGCATCTATTATTGCGCCCCCCCCCCCCCCCCAAAAAGACAGAAGTCTATTTTTATGCTTTTTGCATTGTGTACAGTCTGGAAGCTACCCACATGACAAATTTCAAGTTTGTTACATGTTGGGAAGTATGCTAAACATTTGGAACAGGCACACATTCACAAATTTCCCTTTGTACATACAGATGTCACAGTAATCAAGTACAGGAAGTATGGTAGCTTTTATCAATTCAAAACGGAACATTGTGGGGAAGCAGTGCTTGTGTCGATACAGGAAACCAATTTTTTATTTTGTCTTTTTACTAATAGAATCAATGTGATCTTGAAAATTTAGTTTTGAATCAAAGATGACCCCAAGATACTTATAGATCTTGACTTGCTCTCTTAGATAATTATTTGAGGATGTAATTGGAGAAAACATTTCCTGCTTTAGTCCTGGTGAGAAGCATGCCACCTTGGATTTGGAGGCATTCGGGACTAGTTTTAAGAGCCACGAGCTGATGTTGTACTTTGTTGAAATCGCACTGACACTTAGTAATCACATCATCCAGAGCGGCCAGCAGTAATCAATATTGTCATCTGCAAACAGATTTACCCTGGAATTATCCAAGTCGGTGCCCAAGTCATTGACATGAACAGAGAACAAGAGGTGGCCAAGGATGGAACCCTGTGGAACCCCTATTTTCTTATATTGACCTCCAACCATCTATGAATACAGTTTTGGTGCGCGAAGAGAGGTACATTTTTAACCATTCAACTGCGTGTTTGGAGAAACGGAGGCAACTTGGCTTACAAAGCAGGATGTTTTGGTCGACTATCAAAGGCTTTGGACAAGTCAAGAAAAAGACTGGTGCAGTACTGCTTATTATCCATGCGACTGTAAATGTGATTTTAGAGAGTCAAGTGCAGCAGATGTGGTGCTGTATTTTTGTCGGAACCCAGATTGGTTTCGATGTAAGAGGTTATTGTCAGACGGGAAACTGCTAATTTGGTAGTTCAATAATTTTTCAATAAGTTTAACAAACGGGGACAAAATTGAGATTGGTCAGTAGTTATTTGGATCATTTTTAGGGCTCCCTTTTAATGAAGTGAACGAACATAGGATTGTTTCTATTCTAGAGATACCGATGCTTCATTGATAGACAGGTTGAAAATATGGCCTATAGGTTTGTATATTAGGTGACCAACAGTTAGCGGATCAAAGATAGGAATACTATCTGCTCCAGAAGAGTAGGACCCTTTGAGGTAGGACTAATGTTTCAGAACATTATTTTCGTGGATAGGCTGGAAACTAAATTCGTTTAATGTTTGTACAGGGATGTCAGAAATTGCATTAGCAGGGTTTACTCCCAATATATTATTATAAAGGTCACCAGCTTCAGAAAAAATAAGGTTCAAATTATCAACTATTTTTTTGAGGCTCTGAAAAATAGTCCCTATTTAGGTTAAGTGCAACTGGAAGATTATCTGTGTTGGGTGCCTTTTTTAAATACATTTTACCTTTTTCCAGAATATCCTGGCGTTACCACGTGATTCCAGGAGAGTGTAGGAAAAGTAAAACATTTTTTTTGCATGCCGTATTTTTCTTGACGCATCCAATCCTCAGAATCCTGTACTCTAGCCAGTCATTGACCAAATTACTTTTCTGAGCACATGCCCAAGCCTTGTCCCTCGTTTTCATGAGCTTGGTAATCAAAGGATCAAACCATGGTGGACGGTTGCCTTGAATTTTAAATCTAACCAATGGAACATGTTTGTTAAGAATTTGCCGAAAAGGTGTCCCAAGCCGTAGTCAGGTTGGGGGTATGGCAGACCTTGTCTATCGGAGTGAAGCACATCATTCGTAAATCCATGTATGTCGAAGTGTCTCATGGAGTGCTGAACAACCGATCCTGGGGAGTGCTTTGGGTCTGGCTGACGATCTCACCCCCAATGTGAAGGAGTGATCGCTAAGGTTATTACCCAGAACACCAGTAAGTGGGGAAATTGTGAGGGGCATTGGTCAACAGGACGTCAAGCAGAGATGACTGTCCCGGGTTTTTTATGTTGGGTCTTGTGTCGTGGCCTAGAAAGCGAGAGAGAGAGAGTTTGTCGGTTTGTTGTTCGTCTACCTACATTGAAGGAGTGCAGACTACTGCAGTTGTGCTAACTATGTTGTTCATAGTGTGGGTTGCATGTCCACAATCGCACTAGTGTGGTCTCTGTCTAATGCATCGTTGTGGGTCTCTGTCTCTCTGTATCCGTGAGTCCCGATGTCTCTCTGTATCCGTGAGTCCCGATGTATCACTATGTGCCTCCTATGGGTTTGCTGCATGGTCCATAATTTGAGTTGCATGGCCACTCGCACTGCTGTGGCTTGTTTTCATGCATCTGTGGGTCTACGTATTGCGATGGGTCTCTGGGTTTACGATATGGTGCCATGATTGGGTTGCATGGCCACCATGCTAGTGCTGTGGCGTGTCTTTTAATGCATCTCTATGTATCTACGAGTTCCGCTGTATCTCTGCGTCTCCCTTATAGGTTTATAACATGGTCCGTAGTGCGGATTGCATGGCCACAATCGCACCAGCGTGGCTGTCTCTAATGCATTTCTGTGGGTCGCCATGTATCGCTATGGATTTCTATGCATCTATATGGGTCTATGGGTTTACTACATGATGCATGGTGTCAGTTGCATGACCATTTGTACGTGCCGTGTGGTACGTACGAGCTTCTTTCGCACTGAATCTCGGCAGAGCCGGTCTCCTTGACGCGGGCCCGACCTTCCCGGAGTGAACCAAAAAAAAATCGGTTGTTGTTTTTGTTGTTGTTGTTGTTTTTTAAATGGCGTTGTCCCCAGACGTGAGGATGGAGCTGCGTCTGGGAGTGAACCGCGTGGAGCGACTCTCCACCAACGAGACGCTGGTGCTGTCTGTGGAGGCGCTGCCCAACTCGGCGAGCTTCGTCACCTTCCAGGCACACGAGCGGGGCGACGGCGCCGTTACCGTCGCCTTCTCCAGGGTAAACGGAACGGCCCGGGGGGCGTAAACGAAAACCGCCGACTTTGGGTTTGTGGGCGTTCTGATTTTGTGGTTTTGCGGATTTAAAGAAAAAAAATTCTGAGAGGTGCGTGACCCTGGAGTTTAATAGTTATTCTTTATCCCCTCTCCCCCATTCCCCCGCCCCACCTACCCCAGGTTTTCCTCCCCTGTGATCCCCCACCGTCCTACCCCTACATACGGCTGGCTCGGCTTCTCGGTTTGCGCGCAAGCCGCGTGACACGGGCTGTGGTTATCGGGGGGGCTCGCATTCTGTAAACGACACAAAAAAAACCGGCCTCCGCTAAGGAGGAGCCTCTGCTCTTCCACAACCGGAAACCCGCGTCCTGGAAGCTGTGGGAGCACACCCACACTTTGCCCCACCCACAAAACGACTCGGATACCCCTCCCGTGTAGCCTGTAACAGACTGTTGGGGCAAGTGCTTTTAGCGAGTAGCAATACCCAGTGAAGGCCGGAACGGCACGCGAGTGGGTGGGTGGGTGGGCCAGCACCACGCCCGCCCACTTTTGTCTCCCCAGTGGCTGATTGATTTTACACGCACACCGTATCAAGGTACTCATTTGAGGCCGAGTCGACCTAGGGGAGGCCCAGGTCCGGGTAAGGTAATCGTCACCGGTGTTGGCCGCGAAAGCCGGAACCGAACCTCGGGTCGCCAGATTAGAAGAACCACGTGCTAAACGCTACACTACCGCTCCCCACACTGATGCGGCACTTGTGCCAGGCTATGTGCACGTTGAGGCCACCTGAATTATCGAATGCCTGCCGGCAGGAGGTCACGGGGCAGACCCAGGTGCCACGGGTCGACTGACTGAGATGACTGGCTGATGCACCACCTGTGCCCCCTACTGTGCCAACCTGCTGTGCTTTAGCCACCCGGCGCTCCGCTCGTTGTTGTGAGCGTCGCTCCTCCGCCCTCCGTTGTTGTTGGAGGGCGACTGCCTCCAACTGCCCAGTAGCATCCTTCACGAGCCTCCTCCACAGAGGCCGATCTTGACACCGCTGGTACCAGTCATCGGCAAGTCCACTCAGCTCCACATCCTCTTGTACCACATCACTCCATCTCTTCTCTAGGTCGAATAGCCCCCTTTATCCGGCCGAACAAAAGCTAAATCTTGACTTAAAGCTTTCGCGACTGCAGGAATTCATATTCTTGGGTCTTTTGGTAAAGTCACGTAGATGGGTTCAAAGAAAATAACAAAAAATAACAAAACTAGAGCCTTTTTTTTCCTTCCCGATGACGACCGCTTGTTGTGATCGAAACATCGTAGTTTGTTATTTCTTTGAACCTATCTACGTGACTTTACCAAAAGACCCAAGAATACGAACAACAACTGTTTTGGCATGCGGTGGCTGGGCATGCGAGCTACATGACCCAGCCAACGCAGCCTTGCCTGCCGGAGGAGCTCACCGATGTCCAGATCTTTCAAGGATTTGTGAGCTCCTCACAATCCAGCCGGGTTAAACCCAGGATGGATCGTATGCAGCCCAGCCTAAATGTTTCTAACTGGCAAAGATGTACAATTAGGGGGGGTCCACGTTTTGCAAGCGAGAAGACCTGAAGCTTAGTGCGGAGCGACAGACCTGGTAACTTCCACACAGCGTTACGCAACCGATGAAAACATAATGCTGCTCCACTTATTTGGAGTGAGACCTCTGCTGTCAAACTGGAGCAGGTCATGAGCATACTGCCCAGGTATAGGGAAACTCTCCACTCCACAACGGCCCCATTACCGATTGGGAGTTGTGGGGGTGGAGTGTCCGATGGTACAAAATACCCAAGCAGGTGCTTAGTTTTGGTGGGGCTGATGGTAAGGCCCCACCTCTTAGTGACAAGCTCCAGGTTCAGCAGCAGCGCCTCCAACTCCTCTGAGTGAGCAGCAATCGCCAAATCATCGGCATATACATAACATGGTTGACCAATAGGGAGCCATCCCTTGACCACACCCGGGCATCGATCAGCCTCCCATTGTATCTATACCAGATGGAAATTCCTCCGGTACAGCCATCGAAGGCTTCACGAACTACGTGGTCGAAATAAATGTAATGTGGGAGCCAGAGGACATCCCTGTTGCACACCAAGGTGAACAGGGAATGGCTCGGATTCCTGGCCACGTAGTTTTATCCAGGCCCGCTCACCATCATGAAGGTGCTTAATGACCTTGAGCAGACAGTCAGGGACTCCGAAAGTACAAAAAACAACTCAGAGTCCAGGCTTACTGATGGTATCATTATCCTTAACCAGGTCAATGAATTAGAGATGTAGGTCTTGTTGGAATTCCCTATACCTGCTGTAGCAGATAGACATAAAATATGGCATCTGTGCAGGATCGCCCATGAAACCACGTTGGGGTTCCGCAAGCCTCTCCTCAGCATGCCTGGCAAGGCGATGTTGATTGTCCTGGCAAGGATTATTTCCCGGCACACTGAGGAGTGAGATGCCCCTGTAGTTGTTGCAGTCTGTGCAGTCTCCCTTCTTAAAGAGGGGGACCACCAGGGCATCCTTCCAATCCTGCGGAACCCGTCCAGTGGTCCAGACTGTTGTTATGATGTCATATAGGGCAGTCTGTGCACAAACGCCACCCTCCCTCAGCATTTCGCTTGGGAGATCATCTCTGCCCGCTGGCTTTCCTGGTCTCAGACTCCGGATCGCCTTCAGTACTTCCTCAAAAGATGGCACCTCAGCCAGCCACTCACAGAGGGTGACTTCTTGCAATACTCTTTGGTTCTATTGGGTAAAGTCACGTAGGTGAAAATAAAATGACAAAAAATCACGACGTTTCGGCCACAACAAAAATCACGTCGTGATTTTTTGTTATTTTATTTTCACCTACGTGACTTTACCCAATAGAACCAAAGAGTGTGGATCCTAGCAGTCAAGAAAGCTTTAAATCTAGGACTTCTTGCAATATTTGGAGGCACGGCAGCCTCAGCAGGGTCATCCCCACTGTCCCATGATGTTTTGCAGGCCGAGGGATTTCCCCTCCCCAGGACCTCGCAGAAATGTTCGGCAAACCTGTTCCTGGGGGTCGGAGATTGTGTGTTTTATTTAATGCATCAACTTGATTCTTTGCAGAAGGTATCTATTTGGTGTTGGGATATCTTAACGCCTCTCCTATTTTATTGCCAGCAAAGGGTAAAAACCTATGAATATTTTTTTCATACTTTGATACTGGCAAAAAAAAGGTCCCATTTTTGTGTACCTGCTAATCGGGATGTAAGATTTTCCGTGTGCACGTGTGGAATGATATTTGTACGTGCAACCGTGTGTGCGTGTGTCAGGCCCTCGGGAGAGGAAACTCGTACACTGGCACGGACGCAGGGCTGCTGTTTCCACTTCATCCCAGGGACAGCCGACTGCTGTGGTACATGTACACGGGGACCCAAGCCAACGCTACAGCCAGCCTTCTGGCACTGGCCTATTCAGACAGTGGTGAGGCACACGCACACACACACACGGCGTGTGTGGCTAAGCACTGCGCCACTTCTTGTATGTCGTGTGTGTATGTAGTGGGGAGCGGTGGTGTGGCGTTGAGCGCTACGAACCCGGCTAACGGAGTTCGATTCTCGCTCGCGGCCATCGACGCCAGTGACGATTATCTGAACCGGCCCTGGGCCCTCCCCTAGGTCGACTGGGCTTTCTCAAATGAGTACCTGGTGCGGCGTGTAAACATCGCCACGTGGGAGACAATGGCGGGTGGGCGTGGTGCTGGCCACCCGCCCCCTCGTGTGCCACAGTGCCGGCCTTCGTCGGTAGCTGCTCGCTAACAGCACTTGCCCCCAACAGTCTGTTAAGGCTATACGGGGGATGTTTGTCTTTGTGTGTTGAACTTTCTTCGCATGGTACGTAGCCAACCGTGCTAATCGGAGGTGCTGGGGAAGGACCACAAACTTATCCACAGAACTCAGGTCTACCCTTGAATGTTAAGATTTGAAGTGAAAATAACTTTAAATGCTTCCGTTTCAATAGTGTGTGTGTGTGTGGTATATGTTTATTTTTAAATGTGTTTTTTTTTTGTGATCCGTGTTTTAATAGTTGGTTAAATCGCGGTTCGTCTGTGTATGCCAGTGGCTCTTGCGGTGCCCTACGCAACTACCATGCTCTCCACACTGCACACTGCTATACTACGCAATACCGTACTACACTACACCGCTGACCGGTCATTGGACAAACGGTCACCACATCGCGCGGCGCTTTCAGATGGCGCCGCTTCCGCGGCCGTCTGCAACGCTGCTACCTTCCCATGTCAGTAAGCCCACTGGGTCTGTGCACGGCGATGGCGATTACGCTGAGAGACGGAGCAGCACGCGGATTAGAGAACGCACGCATGGTAGAGACGTCGCCACCGCATCGATCTTCATCCAGCAGTAGATGGAACAAGGACGGTGGTTACCGCACCGCACGCCAGCAGATGCGCTGCTTCTGCGGCCGTCTGGAATGCACTTGCCTTCCGTTGTATTAGGACGCCGTTGGTGGCTGTGCTGCTGCGCATTGAAATCGTCGTTTTAGGTTGGGAAACTCGTTTCTTTGCGTTCTTTACAACGACTTTCTGTTCGTGCCCGCCAGCCGCCCCCGCGGTGGCCGACGCAGCGATGAGCGCCGCTTCGGCAGATTAATTTTGAGGTTGACGTGAACTCGGGAGGAGGGGCCCGTGTCAACATTTGAATATATTTGCGGCTGATGGGATTGGCAATGGAACTTTTCGGCCAGTTGTTCATTGTTTTTAGGCATGGTGTGTAGTAATTAGTTTTAATAATAAAGAGTCCACATCCGGTTACGACTTGATACATCGGATCCATGTTTTTCCGCTCTCTCCGCTGCGCTCCATTCCACTCCGCTCTCTCCGCTCCGCTCCGCTCTCTCTCCGCTCATTCCTACCAGACCCTGTGCCGGGAGGCTGTAACCTGGAGTACGACATGGAGGTGGACCCCAACCTCCGTCTGAGCTACAACCTCTACGAGACGGTGCTGGAATTTGCTCCGGCCAACCTAGGGTACCCACGGTCGGTCATCCCCCCCCCCATTTTTTTAATGTATTTATATTTTAGGTTGTTTCCTCCAAAATGTGGCTTTCTGTTTTTGTCTCGATGGGCGAGGTAGTTTAACCACAATACCTCCTCGTCAACGAGCGTAAACCATCAGCGCGCAAACTCCGGTCGTCATCCTCGCAGCAGCAGCAGCAGCAGCGGATTGCAGCTGGCCGTCGAACAAAGACGGTGGTGACCACATCGTCCCGCGGCGCTCTCAGATTCGCTTCCGCGGCCGTCTGGAACGCCGCTGGGCGCTGTGCCGCACTCTTAAATCCTCGCCTACGTTGACAAACGCGTTTCTTTTATAACGCCTGTTTTGGTGTTTTAGTTTATTTGTCCTTCCCTACTCCCCCCGCACCCTCCCGATTTTAGCACGGTTGGCTACGTACGGTGGGAGCAAAGTAAGCTGAACGTACAGACGGTGGTGTAACCGTCGGTTCTCAATGATTGCGGGGGGGTGATGTGAAAGCGCTGCCCCACTCTTCTGTATAGACCCAGAGGTCCGCTTGAGATTTTTATCTCCAGAAGTAGTTCTGTTACGTCTGCTTCATCTTCTTCTGTGGCTTTTTGCACCGCTCCAGAGTTTCTGACAAAAAGATCCTGACCCATTTTCCATTGCGATGACGACCGACGTACATTGTGTGCGCGTGTGTACGTACACCTATTACCATGATTAGGGGAAAGAACGGCGATCCAATTTCTGACCCCCAGGAACCGGTATGCAGATTCTCTGAGCATTTATGTGAGGTCCTGGGGGAGGGGAAATCCCTCGGCATGGAAAACATCATGGAACAAAGTGGGTGATGACCCTGCTGAGGCTGCCGTGCCTCCAAATATTGGAAGAAGTCACCCCCTGTGAGTGGCTGGCTGAGGTGCCATCTGTTGAGGAAGTACTGAAGGTGATCCAGAGTTTGAGACCAGGAAAGGCACGGGGCAGAGATTAACTCCCAAGCGAAATGCTGAGGGAGTGGCGTTTGTGCACAGACTGCCCTATATGACATCCCAACAGTGTGGGCCACTGGACAGGTTTCGCAGGATTGGAAGGATGCCCTGGTGGTCGCCCTCTTTAAGAAGGGGACCGCACAGACTAACAACTTCAGGGGCATCTCATCCCTTGGTGTGCCAGGAAAGGTCCTGGCAAGGATTATTCAACATTGCCTTGCTAGGCACGCTGAGGAAAGGTTTGCGGAGCCCCAATGCGGTTTCAAGAAAGGGCGGTCCTTCACAGATGCCATGTTTTCTGTCCGTCTGTTGCAGCAGAGGTGTAGGGAATTCCAACAAGACCTGCAGCTCTGCTTTATTGACCTGGTCAAGGCCTATGATACCATCAGTAGGCCTGAGCTCTGGGTTGTTTTTCATGCTCGAGCCCCTGAATCTGTGCTCACGATCATTAAGGGCCTTCATGATGGTGAGCGGGCCCGGGTAAAACTACGTGGCCGGGAGTCGGAGCCATTCCCTGTTCACCTTGGGCTGCGACCAGAGATATCTTCTGGCTCCCACATTATTTAACATCTATTTTTACCACGTAGTTTGTGAAGCCTTCAATGGCTGTACCGGAGGAATTTCCATCTGGTACAGATACAATGGGAGGCTGATCGATTCCCGGGTGCGATCAAGGGATGGCTCCCTATTGTTCAACCATCTTACGTATGCCGATGACCTGGTGATTGCTGCTCACTCAGGAGGAGTTGGAGGCGCTGCTGCTGAACCTGGAGCATGCCACTAAGAGGTGGGGCCTTACCATAGACCCCACCAAAACTAAGCACCTGCCTGGGTATTTTGTACCATCGGACACTCCACCCTCACAACTCCCAATTGGTGATGGGGCAGTTATGGAGAGTTTTCCATTCCTGGGCAGTGTGCTCATGACTGACTCCGGTTTGACAGCAGAGGTCTCTCTCTGTGTTATCAGTCGAGCGGCATTATCTTTTCATCGGTTGCGTAACACTGTGTAGAAGCTACCAAGTCTGTCGCTAAACACGAAGCTTCAGGTCTTATCAGCCACAGTGATGCCCTCCCTTCTCTACGCTTGCGAAAAGTGGACCCCCCCCCCCCATAGAACATCTTCGCCAGTTAGAAACATTTAGGCTGGCCTGCCTACGATCCATCCTGGGTTTAACCAGGCTGAATTGTGTGAGAAGCTCACATCCTTGAAAGATCTGGGCAAGGTCCCATCGGTGAGCTCCTCCTGCAGGCATGCCTGCGTTGGCTGGGTCATGTCGCCCACATGCCCAGCCACCGCATGCCTAAATAGCTTTTGTTCGCCCGGATAGAGGGGGCTAAACGGGCATGGCACGGGCTAGAGAAGAGATGGAGTGATGTGGTACAAGAGGATGTGGAGCTGAGTGGACTTGCCGATGACTGGTACCACCGGTGTCAAGATCGGCCTCTGTGGAGGAGGCTCGTGAAGGACGCTGCTACTGGGCAGTTGGAGGCAGTCTCCCTCCAACAAGACTTGAGGGTGGAGGAGCGGCACTCACACCAACGAGCGGAGCGCCGGGTGGCTAAAGCACAGCAAGTTGGCACAGTAGGGGGCACAGATGGTGCATCGGCAACTCATCTCAATGATTCGACCCAAGGCACCTGGGTCTGCCCTGTGACCTCCTGCCAGCGGGCGTTCAACACTTCACGTGGCCTGGCACAGGTGACGTCACCGCCACTTCGCGGCGAATGGCGGTGGTTGCACGCACGCGTGTGTACGTACGCGTGTGTACGTACACGTGTGTACGTACGCGTGTGTACGCACGCCGGAATAGCCTGCCGGCGTGTGCCTGCTTCTTTCCGTCGTCCGCAGGGGTTCTGTGCCACCAGCCTGCGACCAGGACAAGGGCCCCGAGTCTCGCTGGCGCCTGGAGTACGACGTCTACCAGACCTTCCTCGAAGAGGGCGACCTGGGGGTGGACTCCCTTCTGAGCGCCCTGCGTCGCTTGTCCAGTGCCAGCGGCTGCGAGGCGTTCGGCTCCAAGGTACGTACGTGTGCACGTGTGTGTGTGTGTGTGTGCACGTGTGTGTGTGTGTGCACGTGTGTGTGTGTAAGGGGGGAGCGGCGGTGTAGCAGTTGGCGCGCCGCGCCACGAACCTGACCGCCCGAGTTCGATTCCCGCTCGCGGCCAACATCGGTGACGATTAGCTGAACCGGTCCTGGGCCCTCCCCTAGTTCGATTCGGCCTACTCAAATGAGCACCTGGTGCGGTGTGTAATAAACATCGCCACTGGGGAGAAAGACGGCTGGGCATGGTGCTGGCCACCCACCCCCTCGTGTGCCGTTCTCGCCTTCATAGGTGTTGCTCGTGAACAGCGCTTGCCCCAACAGTCTGTTTTTAAAGGCTATATGGGGCATCTTTATCTTTGCGTTGAACGAGTCCGACGGATTGTATCGGTGCGTGTACGAATGAATATGCGTGCGCTAGTTCAGGTACTGCTACTCGCTATCGGCACTTGCCCCAACAGTCTGTTAAGGCTACACGGGGGGGGGATTTGTGTATTTTGTAATGCGCCGCTAGTAGTAGTTGTATATCCATACCGATCGAGCCATACGATTTGCCCCTTATTCTTGTGCAGGGAAATTGATTTTTTTAGGTCCATACGGCATACAGCCGTTTCAATACGGGCAACAACAACAAATTCTGTTTGTAGTAATAGGTTTTTACCCTTTTATCTGGCACCAAAACTGACACCTTTATACAAGGGATCATGTTTGCAATAATTACAACACAAGCAGTCAAAATGCAAGCAAGAAGAGACAACTGATAATGATATTGGCACTGTCCTTGAAATGGATTGGTCCACACCTGAGACGGCTTTTCTTAGAGCCCTTAGTCTCCACTGGTGTTGGACCAGAAGACTCCAAAAGGCATACAACTCAAAAACAGCGCACTATCGGAGTATTGAGACCTCCTTTGCCAGTAGCAAGATATAGTAATAGGTTTTTACCCTTTTTATCTGGCACCAAAACTGACACCTTTTAAACAAGGGATCATGTTTGCAATATCTTGCTACAGGCAAATGACGTCTCGTAATGTAAATTCTGCTTGTGTTTGTCCCTTGTGATGGGACTTTGTAGGATGAACGTTGAGATTTATGATATCGTCCATGAATAAGAGGGTTTGTTTGTGGGTTAGAGATCGCGTAAATATAAACCGGTTTGTCGCCAAGCCCGCCGCCACCACCACCCAACACGCAGCCGATTTTAAACAAAAGTTCGTCACGTAAACAAAATGTGACGATTTAGTTACTAGTTGAGCACTTTCCGAGGGGTGGGGGTGTGTGTGTGTAGTGGGGAGCGGTAGTGTAGCTGCGCTATGAACCGAACGACACGCGTTCGATTCCCGCTCGTGGCCAACACCAGTGACGATTTTTATCACGAACCGGTCATGGGCCTCCCGTAGGTCGACTCGGCCTCCAAATGAGTACCTGGTGCGGTGTGTAGTGAACATTGCTACTGGGGGAGACACAGGCGGCCTTCGTAGATGCTGCCGAATTTCGGAACGCGTGCGCGAGGGCCGTGGTGGTGGTAGTATTGGCGCCGCTGTTTAATTTAAGACGTGCACCCGCACACCGCAGAGGACGTTAGCGGCACGACCGCCGCCAGTCTGCGATAGCCGTCGCCAAACTGTGCCACGCGAACGGCACCGCACGCACGCAAGGCCTTGTGGGAGAATTGATACCGATTTATAGAAGTTGCTTTTTTTGAGTTTTTTTTTTTCCTGGCGGTTTCGTTCCGATGACGTGTGTGTACGTCATCGGAACGGAACCAGAAGAAAAACGTCATGACGTGTGTACGTGTGTGTGTACGTACGTCATCGGAACAGGAAAGGGGTTAACATCCTTCTGTATTATTGCTGGAAGAAGATATGGTAAAGCCTTTTTTTCCAATTGAATGGCTGTGGATATCCCCTACTCCTCCAGCTTTGACTGGGAACTCATTTCGACCTTTTCCCCTTTGGGGAAGTGCGAGTCGTCGATCCCTTGATCTCTGGACCCCTCGACCCTCTCTCCGTCTCGCTCTCTGGATCACTCGGTGTCTCTCTCTTGACTCTCGGTGTCTCTATCAATCTCGGTCTCTGGATCACTCGGTGTCTCGGTCTCTCTCTCTCTTGACTCTCGGTGTCTCTCTCCCTCGCTCTCTGGATCACTCGGTGTCTCGATCTCTCTCTCTCTTGACTCTCGGTGTCTCTCTCCCTCGCTCTCTGGATCACTCGGTGTCTCGGTCTCTCTCTTGACTCTCGGTGTCTCGGTCTCTCTCGACTCTCGGTGTCTCTCTCCCTCGCACTCGGTGTTTCTCTCCCTCGCTCTCGCACTAGCCGGTTGCGTCTGCCCAGTTGTCCCTCGTTACGTTCCCACCACCTTGCCGTGCCCATTCCGGGTCCTTGGGAGCTCCGCTCTCTTGGTGCCGGCCCAGCCGTCCTGGAGGACCTTGAAGATGCCGCCGCCGCCTCCGCCGCCTCCGTGTCGGCGCCTCTTCCCCCGGGGCGCCGTGGTGATTCGCCGAGGCGGGAGGAGGTCTATTCGTGGTGATGAATGGCTTTCCTTTTGTGGTGGTCCGTCCCAGTTGCCGGGTTGCGGCGAGCACTTTGCGTGCCGCTTGATGAAACCCCTACGAGCGCACTCCAACAACACGGACGAAGATCCCCCGTGTAGCCTTTACCGGACTGCTGGTGGCAAGCGCTGTTGGCGAGCGCCTAAATGAAGGCCGGGATTGCGCACGAGGGGGTGGGTGGCCAGCAACAGGCCCCCCGGGCGCCTTTGTCTCCCCAGTGGCGATGTTTTTACGCACCGCACCAGGTAGTCATTTGAGGCCGAGTCGACCTAGCGGAGGCCCCAAGGACCGGTTCGGATAATCGTCACTGGTGTTGGCCGTGAGCGGGAATCGAACTCTGCCCCTGCAGGTTCGTGGCGTGGCGTGCTAACCACTTCAGCTCCGCTCCCCCTTGCACACGCCGATGGACACGTATCCCATTTGTTGTTTTTGTTCGAGAAGCCCTTTGAAATGGTTTTTATATTTTAAGCAACTGGAATACAATTTGCCCCTCATTCGCCACACCCCCCCCAGGGAACGCGTACAAGTTTGATGGGGGTGTGTGTGGCACAGTGGTTGGCACCCTGCACGATATAAATATACTTTTTATTTTAACCCAGCATGCGACGTTCGTCTTTTTAAGAAAAAATATTAATCCACGGGTGGCAGGGCATGGCAGAGTTTAATCCCGATGCGGCACTTTCAGATTCACTGCTTCTGCCGGCCGTCTGGAACGCTCTTCCCTTCTGATCGGCAAACTCAAATATTTGACGGCTTTTTTTGTGTTCATGTCCTTCCCCCGCGCCTTCCGATTTAACACGGTTGGCTACGTACTGTGCGAAAGAAGCTCTACACCGAAGGCGATCGAGAGTTTGAGACCAGGAAAGCCACCGGGCAGAGATTAACCCCCAAGCGAAATGCTGAGGGAGGGTGGCGTTTGTGCACAGACTGCCCTATATGACATCGTACCAACAGTCTGGACCACTGGACGGGTTTCGCAGGATGGGAAGGATACCCTGGGTGGTCCCCCTCTTTAAGAAGGGGGACCGCACAGACTGTAACAACTACAGGGGCATCTCATCCCTCGGTGTGCCAGGAAAGGTCCTGGCAAAGATTATTCAACATTGCCTCCCCACTTGTGAGTCCACGGGACGCTAGGTCACCGCTCGCTAGGCCAAGACCCACTGGCATGGCTAGGCATGAGAACCTCCGCCCCTCCCCCCCCCTCCCCAACGTTGTGTGTTTTGTTTGGACCCAGGACGTCACCTTTGTAAAAGGATCTTCCCCAGAAGCGGTTCTGTGAATGTCCACTTCTGTCTGTGGGCTGTTCTCCCGAGATGATGGAAGTTTCATTTTTTATTTATTTTAATCCACCCAACCCCACCTTGACTCCGACCTCCCGAGAGGAGGTTCCGAAAACGCTTCCACGACCCGTCCCTCGTTCCCTCCCCCCCCTAGATGCGGACGCTGAGCTCGTCGGAGAAGCCGCGCCTGGTGCAGACGTCGTACCCGGGCCAGGGCGTGGTGTACTGTGTGGTGGTGCGCGACCCCCGGCGCAACACCAGCGCCGCCTACGTGCCGGCCGCCACCTACGCCTGCAGCTTCTCGGCGCACAGCGACGGCTGCTACCACCTCGGTGCGTCTCCGCCATTGTCGACATTGTCGTCGCCATTGCCGCCGTCATTGTCGTCGTCATTGTCGCCGCAGCCATTGTCGTCGCCGTGATTCCCGTAGACATCATCATTGTCGTCGTCGTCGTCCTCGTGATTCCCGTAGACATCATCATTGTCGTCGTCGTCGTCCTCGTGATTCCTGTAGACATCGTCATTGTCGTCGTCATCGTCGTCCTCGTGATTCCCGTAGACATCATCATTGTCATCGTCGTCCTCGTGAACCGTCATCTGCACTGTCGCCCGCCCGCTCGCCGTCGTTGCTGCTGGAGTCTCTCGCTCCCCGCGTGCTCGCCGCCTGCAGCCCTCTCGGCTGGCTTGGCCTCGGTGTGTTTGCGTTTGAACTTCTTTGCAAGTACGAGGACCGCATGGGCAAAGACGTGTGCAAGGAGAAGAAGAAGAGAAATAAATCGAAGAGAAAGTGAAGTGCGTTTTTCTCCCCCACTGGGCTGCGATGTAGCGGTCACGGGAGCAACGCCACCAACCCGGCGGACTCCCGAGGATCAATTTTGGTCCCGGGGGACCTCCCCCAGGGTCGACTCGGCTTCAAATGATTCGGTGTTTAAAAACGTCGCCACTGGGGGAGACAAAGGCGGCCGGGCGTGGTGCTGGGCCACACCGCCCCCTCGTGCGCCGTTCCGGCCTTCATAGGCGCTGCTACCCGCTGACAGCACTTGCCCCAACAGTCTGTTAAAGGCTACACGGGGGATCTTTGCCTTTTTCGTAATGGGGAGAGGTAGTGTAGCTACGAACCCGGCTACGACCCGAGGGTTCGAATCCCGCTCACGGCCACCAAACACCACCGGTGACAATTTATCTGAACCGGTTCCGGGCCTCCCCTAGGTCGACTCGGCCTGAAACGACTGCCTGTTGGCGGTGTGTAGTGAACATCGCCACTGGGGGAGACAAAGGCGGTCGGGCGTGGTGGTGCTGGCCACCCAGACCTGTGGTGTGCCTTGCTCGTGGGCCTTCGTAGGCGCTGCTACTCGCTGACAGCACTTGCCCCAACAGTGTGTTAAAGGCTTCACGGGGGATCTTTGTCTCTGTTGCAGGCAAGACTTATTACAAGGTCCTCATGGTACTGGCCGGCCTCGTGGGACTCTTCATGAGCTTTTTCGGACATCGGTTCTTCAAAACGCGTAAGTCCCCTTCCTCCTCCCGTTGGGCCAGGTGCTCGTGCCTGGCAAAGGTTAGTTTGGTGGGGGGAGGGGGGGAACTTTGAGTTGCGATTTTTAAACTGCGTCCTCGTGGTATTAGTAGGCCGATTGACGATGGTGGTGTTGCGCGTGTATGTACGTTGAACTTCTTTCGCACCGTACGTAGCCGACCGTGCCAATCGGAGGTGCGGGGAGAAGGGAAGAGGAGCGAAACACAAAAATCATTTCCTGAAGTTACGAGTTTAAACAAAAATGTAGATTTTTTTTTTAAAGGTGCATCGCAGCTCTCCCAGTGGCTTTTTGATATCGGAAGGAAGAGCGCTGCACACGGCTGCAGGAGTGCATCCGAAAGCGCGCGATGCGGTGACCACCATTTCTTTTTGATGGCCAGCCGCTGCCGCGGGGATGGCCGGAGTCCCACGTCACGATGGTTTTTAACGCTCCGTGCTGACGATGAGATCGGCAGCGAGGTCTCGCGTGGTTCATTTGTGGCCAAGCCCCACTCTGTGCGCGTGATGTTGAGTGCGACGACCTCGCAACGAAGTCGTTCGCCGACCGGTAGCGAGTCGCTGCTGTGGCTAGGCGATGTTATCTCCCTTGCCTGGTATGCAGGAGGTCGTGGGTTTGATCCCCGACGCGTGGCCACAGAATGTTGTGCACACGCTGCAGCTTGCTGATGTTTTTTGTTTGTTTTTGCCAGACGTCCCGTTAGAGCAGCGAGTTGCAATAATGTAGCCGGTTGTTGTTGCTGCTGCTGCTGCAGAGGTGTTCCTGGACGGTTTCTCGCTGGGCTGCCTTGCGGTGTACGTGGTGGTGACGCGCGTCACCGTGCACACGGCCATCCACACGAGCGTCCACACCACGGCAGACCTCGGCGACGCCGGTGAGACGCGTGGACGGGCGCGCGTGGACGCCGTTTTGTGTGGCCGTGCGCTGGCGACCCGTGACGGTGACGGCGCCGCTGGCTTCCTCCGTCCCCAGCGCGTGTGGCCATCTCGTGCTCTGCGGGAGTGGTGGCCGGGCTGCTGCTGCTGGCGCTGTGGTGGCGTCTGGGCTTGTGCACGGTGTGCGTGCTCGCCAGCGGCACTCTCCTCGGATTCGTACTCGCCTCCGCCGCCTTCTTCTCCCCACTCGGTGAGGACACCGCCGACACCACCACCAACCTCATCGACCTCACACCGACACCACCACCAAACTCATCGACCACACACTGACACCACCACCAACCTCATCGACCTCACGCCGACACCACCACCAACCTCATCGACCACACGCCGACACCACCACCAACCACATCGACCTCACGCCGACACCACCACCAACCTCATCGACCACACGCCGACACCACCACCAACCACATCGACCTCACGCCGACACCACCACCAACCACATCCACCACACGCCGACACCACCACCAACCTCATCCACCACACGCCGACACCACCACCAACCTCATCGACCACACGCCACCACCACCACCACCAACCTCATCGACCACACGCCGACACCACCACCAACCTCATCAACCACGCACCGACACCACCACCAACCTCATCGACCACACACCACCACCATCCACATTGACATCACACTGACACCACCACCAACCACATCGACCTTCACCGACACCACCAACCTCATCGACCTCACACCGACACCACCACCAACTCTTTGGTTCTATTGGGTAAAGTCACGTAGGTAAAAAATGAAACAACAAAAATCACGACGTTTCGGCCACAACACAAGCGGCCTTCATCAGGTGAAGGGACCAGGCTGTCTCGAGGACAGCGCTGGAGTGAAGCACGGCCACGCTCAGACCGCGACCTTTAAGCTGTGTGCGAGGAAACAAGGTGCCTTGACAAAGGAATTAGCATAAAAATTAGCATTTGATTGGCCGACTTAGCATAGAGGTGGTGTACATGCGGGTGGACTTGCCGGTTGGCGCGGGGGGGAGGGGGAGTTTCCCTATTGATGGTGTGAAAAGGGTATTTAAGAGCTGCGAAAGTTTGGGGTACCACTACTTGAAAAATATACTGTACCATTGAAATTAGTTTAATGTTTGGTTCCATTTAGAACATCTTTCCAATGGTTGCTTAATTTGAAACCCTCTTCTCGGTTGAAATTGTGTCTGTGTTTGTAGATCTGAATTGCCTCGTGAACAAATCTCTGATAAAAACCCGTGGGTTTGCAAAGAACCTTGGTATCGGAGAAAATTATATCGTGAAACGTCGTGATTTTTGTTTTATTTTTTTACCTACTACGTGACTTTACCGACTAGAACCAAAGAGTGTGGATCCTTGCAGTCACAAAAGCTTCAAATCTTGAATCACCACCAACCTCGTCGACCTCACACCGACACCACCACCAACCTCATCGACCTCACACCGACACCACCACCAACCTCGTCGACCTCACACCGACACCACCACCAACCTCATCGACCTCACACCGACACCACCACCAACCTCATCGACCTCACACCGACGCCACCACCAACCACCCCCCCCCCCTCCCCCCGACCAACCACTTGTTGTTAGGAATGTGTAATTTATTGTGGTGGTGGAATAGGTGGTGGTGCCATTTAATGATGGTGCCAATGTTGGTTGCGGTGATGTGAGGATATGGTAATTGTGGGTCGATGGTTATGATATGGCAAATGGTGGTCGCTGTGAATATGGTGGTGTTTATCATGAGGATATAGTGGTGGTGGTGGTAGGGGGTTTACTCTGCTCCTAGAAGACTGGATCTTGGGCCTGCCATCTCCACTGAAGACCCCTTCCAAGAGAATGTGGGGAGGGGGGTAAACCCTGGAGCACATTCCCCCCCTGACCCTCTCTCCCTCTCTCTCCTTGCAGGCGATCTCCGACTCTTCCAAAGTGACGTCAACTTCTGGATGTGCTTCACCTGTGGCACGCTCTTTGTCCCCATCATGCTGCTGCTGTGTCCCTTCGTGGTGAGAGCCACGCACTCCCCCCCTCCCCCGTGAGCGTGGAGAACGTGGCACACAAGCCGTGAAACTCCCCGCCGTTGTCGTCGTCGTTCCGCACCGCCCCCTATCCGTGTCTCTTCCCACCCCCATAGTTGAATGGCCTCTCCTGGTGTCTGTCACTCCCTCGCGTTAGCTTGCTGCCGTGCCCGAGCTCTCTCTCTCTCTGTCGTTCTCTCCTCGGCTCTCTCTCTTCCTCTCTCTTTCAATGCACAGGGGCGTGCGTTTTTCCACATCCTAAACCTCGCCTAAGAGAGAGTAAACTCGCCTGTGGTGGTGGACTATTTTCTCTTCTTTCCTTCATCCTCGGAATCGGATTGTGTCAAAAGTCTCCTTCCCAAAACCGTGTGTTTTATAGTCTTTGGTTAAAAGTCTCCTTCCCAAAACCGTGAGTGTTTTATAATCTTTGGTTAAAAGTCTCCTTCCCAAAACCGTGAGTGTTTTATAATCTTTGGTCAAAAGTCTCCTTCCCAAAACCGTGAGTGTTTTATAATCTTTGGTTAAAAGTCTTCTCCCCCAAAACCGTGAGTGTTTTATAATCTTTGGTTCTTTCGGTAAGGTCGTGTGACTTTACCGAAAGAACCACGTGGCGTTTTCTAGTTCTGCTTTTCTGGTGTTTGCTTTGTCCCAACGGCACTCGCCACCACGCTGCAGGCCTCCTTGGTTTGGCAGGCTGGGTCCTCTCGTTTCCACTCCTTCTCTCACAGCACCTCCTTAATTCTTTCTGTTCTCTTGATGCTTCTTTCTTTCCTCGTCTCTCCTTTTCAAGTGAAACTTTTTTTTACTTTTCTGACCACTTGTCCGTACTGTTCATGATTGCACATTACGAGTCTCTCGCTCGGAGGAACGGCTTCGCTTGCTTTTCCTCCAGCGGAGATCGGTGCGGGGTGGAGGGGGGGGGGGGGGGGTGTGTTTGCTACCGCCGCTGGCGAGCGCGGTGGGGCTGGCGAGCGTGAACCGCGGAGTGGGTCGTGTTGGTGGCTAAAGAGGGATATGGTGGTGCACATTGTCGAGGCGGGGATTGACATCAAGGGGGGGAACTTTGTGCCGTGCACACCTTTCGACCTCCCCTGCAGTCAAGATCGTCCTCTCCAATGCCCCCCCACCCTTTCCTCAACAACTCTGATCTAGAACGTGATCTGAAACGTTGTGGTACGCGGTAGTCTCTCCTGGAATGATGATCGTGCTACCGTTGAGGGGGCGACGGCTAGACGCTGCAGCATATCCTCTCTTTTCGGCGCCAAGCCTTCGTTATATACTCGGCGACGGAGACGCTAATTTAGACCTCCAATACGCCGCGGACGGACACGGCGACGCGGTGCACGTGGCGGCCGACCTTGAATCGCTGCTTTGCTTGTGGCGGTGTCGGCCACACCCGGCGGAACTGCCCCGAAGCATGAAAGGGGAAGAGCCGCCGAGGCCGCAGAAAGGGCCCGGCAGCCGGCAACAACACGCTGCCGAGGCACGACGCTTTCACCGTGGTGGTGGTGGTGGTGGTGGTCGCGCTGCCAAGGGGCACGACGCCGCCGCCGCTGCCCCTAAGCACCCTGCTGCCGCTCAGCAGCAACAGCAGGGCGTGGCGATAGAAGGAGCCACACGTGGCAAGGGAAATGTCGACGAGGGGAAATCCGAACGTGTCGGTGCGCCGAGGGTGGACGAGGAAGATTCCTCGGCTGACAATCCTGGAGCTCCTGGAAATCACAAACAGCTCCTATCACTCGGATGTGGAGGACTGACAGTGGAGGATGCAGTGCGCGAGATGAGGAGTTTCTCACTCGCGAAAGATGCCCATGAGCAGTGCCTCCTCCCCCCCCCCCCTTCCCCACAAAATCGAAGGCTTCCTCAAGCCCTACCTTAGGGAAGCACAAGGTTAGAGTTGAGGAAACCTTCCCCGCTCAAATGGGGTTCATTGAGGTCTCGCTTCGACAGGGAAGGAGTGCTCCCGTTTTGAAGGCTACGGCACAGAAGCTGTAACAAGAGGTGTTGAACCCTGCAGTAAAACTAATTAGTGGTGCTTAAATACCCTACCCAGCTATATGGACTGACTGCTGGCCTTGCCAGAGTAATGGGGCACCCAAGTAGCCAAAGGCACAGATGCAAGCTCTTTGTTCTCTTGGAAAGGACAAAGCGGATTTTGTGCTGCAACCCAAGAAACGAATCTCGGCGGACTCCCCTAGGTGCCAAGTGGGGTAGACTCTCTCTCAGGGACTCCCCTAGGTGCCAAGTGGGGTAGACTCTCTCTCAGGGACTCCCCTAGGTGCCAAGTGTGGTAGACTCTCTCTCAGGGACTCCCCTAGGTGCCAAGTGGGGTAGACTCTCTCTCAGGGACTCCCCTAGGTGCCAAGTGGGGTAGACTCTCTCTCAGGTGACTCCCCTAGGTGCCAAGTGGGGTAGACTCTCTCTCAGGGACTCCCCTAGGTGCCAAGTGGGGTCGACTCTCTCTCAGCTGACTCCCCTAGGTGCCAAGTGGGGTAGACTCTCTCTCAGGGACTCCCCTAGGTGCCAAGTGGGGTAGACTCTCTCTCAGGGACTCCCCTAGGTGCCAAGTGGGGTAGACTCTCTCACAGGGACTCCCCTAGGTGCCAAGTGAGGTAGACTCTCTCTCAGGCACTCCCCTAGGTGCCAAGTGAGGTAGACTCTCTCTCAGGGACTCCCCTAGGTGCCAAGTGGGGTAGACTCTCTCTCAGGGACTCCCCTAGGTGCCAAGTGGGGTAGACTCTCTCTCAGGGACTCCCCTAGGTGCCAAGTGAGGTAGACTCTCTCTCAGGCACTCCCCTAGGTGCCAAGTGAGGTAGACTCTCTCTCAGGGACTCCCCTAGGTGCCAAGTGGGGTAGACTCTCTCTCAGGGACTCCCCTAGGTGCCAAGTGGGGTAGACTCTCTCTCAGGGACTCCCCTAGGTGCCAAGTGGGGTAGACTCTCTCTCAGGGACTCCCCTAGGTGCCAAGTGGGGTAGACTCTCTCTCAGGGACTCCCCTAGGTGCCAAGTGGGGTAGACTCTCTCAGGGACTCCCCTAGGTGCCAAGTGGGGTAGACTCTCTCTCAGGGACTCCCCTAGGTGCCAAGTGGGGTAGACTCTCTCTCAGGGACTCCCCTAGGTGCCAAGTGGGGTAGACTCTCTCACAGGGACTCCCCTAGGTGCCAAGTGGGGTAGACTCTCTCTCAGGGACTCCCCTAGGTGCCAAGTGGGGTAGACTCTCTCTCAGGGACTCCCCTAGGTGCCAAGTGAGGTAGACTCTCTCGGCGGCCACCCTGACGATCGCACTGCCGGAGAGGTAATCCTGTTCGGAGCACGGTGCATGCTAGAGTTCCCTTTTTTTACGCTTTTATTTAACTCGCTGTCTGTTGTTGTTGTTGTATCCTCAAATCTTGTAACTCGATTTTAACCCACTTCCCAATGTGGTATCGACTGCAAACTTGGTATACTTGTGTCATACTGATGACAATACTATATTCTATCGTTAAATATAAAAAAAATCTATATTTTTAAACATTATTTTGTAAATGTTATGTTTCTGCTTGGGTCTAATTGTCCACGATCAATTCGCGTTGGCTGTAAATCGCCACGGTCCCCTTGCGTTGTGGCAAGCTTCGGGGCCCACTTCCTCGAGTCGTGGAGTCCTTCCATTACTAGCACGGTACGTTTTAATTAAAGCGTGTTTTTTTAAAAAATGTATTTAGTAATGCTTTTTTATTATGGAGATTGTGAAGGGGGTCTCCTAGCTTCGGTTGATTTTTTTTTTTTTAGATGAAGAACACCAAATTCCGAGTTTGTTTTAATGGTGTAGGCACCGAAGCAAAAGCCCGACCAGGAAACTTTTCTTGACAACGACACTTTGGCATGTTCTAGTGCGCTCAACGCACGAACAACCGCAGGCAGGGGGACGTTTTAACTGCACCCCAAGCCAAGACAGAAACACCGCGAAACTCCACCCGGAGTCGGCTCGGTCATGAGGAGGATGGGCCTTGTTGGATGTGCGGCGTCTGCAGCATCGATCACAACGGCAATACCCGTGGCGTGGCTGTGCCCAAGGGCAGCGATGGCGGTGTACAAAGCGAGGCAGCGGAGATTGGAAGGCGATGGGCTTGGCCGTGGGGCACTGGCAGTGCTTTTTGAAGGTCCTCGTGAAAGCACGGCTAAAGGCTTGGGCACGCGTACTCTTCTAGATTTTGAAGCTTTCGTGACTGCAAGGATCCCAACTCTTTCGGTTCTATTCGGTAAAAGTCACGTTAAAAAAAAAAAAAAGTAAAAAAAAATCTCACGACGTTTCGGCCACAACACAAGCGGCCTTCATCAGGTGAAGGGACCAGGCTGTCCAGAGGACAGTGCTGTGTACTCCGTCATACCGGTGGGGGGTGGGGGTGCCCAGGACGCCCTGTGCCCAATTGTCAATAATTCGCTTGGCTGCGCGGGTTTTTAATTCGCGCTCCCACACCCCCCATCTCTCAGATGATGCCCGGTCACACGTGACGTGAACACCTTTGTGTTGTCGTGGACGTGTCTACTGCCACCGCTTGTTGCCATTGACGCTTCTTATAAGCCATTAAAAAAAAAGTGTATATATTTTAAAGGTTAAAGTCTGGAGGCTCTGTGTTTTTGGGATCTGGGCTCTCTCTCTCTGGGCTCCCTCTCCTCTGCCTGTACGCCGGATTCACGAGCCACCATGTGCCACGGTGTTTGTGCCCCTCTACCCCCCCCCTGCCGGCGCCCGTGCGTAGCTGAGCGTGGTGGCGTGCGCCGTGCTGGGCGGCTACGCCGTGGTGCTGGCCTGCGCCGTGTTCGTGCGCTCCTCGCTGCCCTACCTGCTGCTCAACACGGTGCGGCGCGCGGCCCTCAAAGACTACACGCGGGTCTACAACGCGGCGCCCTTCCAGACCAACGGTGAGGCCAACGCCGCCGCCGCCGGCCAGGGGGGGACTCGGGCCGGCCGGACGCCGCGTTGGCTCCCGCGCGGTTGTCGCCGCGCTCCGTGTTGTGGAAGGACCCGGGTCTCCCGTGACGAGCTGGCCGGCTCCGTGTCCTGCCGCCCCCCCCAGACTACGTGCTGGCGAGCGTGTGGGCCTCCCTGGCCCTGGCCGGCACGCTGTTCCAGGCGCGCCGCGGCTGGGGCCTGCCGACCTTCCCGCCGTGCCCGTACGAGGAGTGGCTCTACAACGCGGAGCGGCGCTCCACCAACGTGCTGGACCCCAGCCACCACCGGCCCAGCGCCCGCGGCCGGGCCTGCCGGGCGCTGGCGTCCGCCTGCGCCGCGATGCGCCGGCCCGGCAAGCGGCGGGATGACGACGGTGAAGGTGGCGGTGGTGGTGGTGGTTGTGGTGGTGGTGGTGGTGGTGGGGATGACTACGACGGGCGGCTGGGCAGGGAGCGTGGCGGTGTGGGTGAGCGTACCCCTCTACTCGTCAACAAATAATAATGACGATCGGGGGGGGAGGTCGTGGTGCCCCCCACACCCCCCCCACCATCTCTGCTGGTGGGATGAGATTGTGATTCGTCAGTGGTGTGTGTAAGTGGCGTCTGAGTTGTGCGTTGTGTTTGCGCGAGGGCGAGGTGTTGGTGGGCGTCGTAGGGAGGAGCAACGTGGTGGTGGTGGTGCGTCGTGCCAGTCGCCTCTGACGAGTCGAGAGGTCGGTGCCGCTGTGCCACCAACCCGGAGACCCCGAGTTCCATTCCCGCTCCCGGCCAACGCCGGCGACTGTTACCCGGTCCGGTCCTGTGCCTCCCCTGGGTCGGCTCGGCCTCGAATGAGTCCCGTGGCGCGACGTGTAAGCGTCGCCACCGGGGGTGACGGAGGCGGCCGGGCGTGTTCCACGGCGCCGGCCTCCGTAGGCGCCCTAGCTCGCCACGACAGGCACTTGCCCCCCGCTCTTGTTAAGGCTACACGGGGGATCTTTGTCTCTGACGTGTGCACGGCGCCAGCAGTCGCTGCTGCCTCCGTGTTCACAATCGCTGGACTTTCCCCTACGTGGGGGGTTAAGTTTAAACATAAGGGGGGCTCTGTGTGTGTGTGGGGGCTAAGTTTAAACATAAGGGGGGCTCCTCTGTGTGTGTGTGGGGGGGGTGGGGGCTAAGTTTAAACATGAGGGGGGCTCTGTGTGTGTGTGGGGGGGGGGGGGGGGGGCCATCAGGGTGGCGAGGCGACGTTGACGACTTCGCCTGACCATGATGCAGGTGGGCGTGGGTTCGATCCCGACCCTGACACCCGCTGTGTCTTTGGAGTGCGTGTGTGTGTCTTTGGAGTTTGTGTGTGTCTTTGGAGTTTGTGTGTGTCTTTGGAGTTTGTGTGTGTCTTTGGAGTTTGTGTGTGTTTGTGTGTGTGTCTTTGGAGTTTGTGTGTGTTTGTGTGTGTGTCTTTGGAGTTTGTGTGTGTGTCTTTGGAGTTTGTCTCCCTCTCCCCTTGGTCACGTGGATTTGTTTTTTTGTTCCCTTCAGGCTCTCCGTTTTTTTTTCCCCCTCCCACATTCAGCATCAACATCGCCACGCGTTTAAGAATATTTGGCCGCTGCTATACATTTCCACGTGGTGATGATGATGATGATGATCCCGCTTCATTTGTGATGGCAGCTGGTCGCAGAGTGGGGCCTTACCTGGTGAAATGGTTTGAGTAGCTGGTGCACAAAAGGGTTTTTAAAAAAAATATTTTACTTTTTTTTTTCGCCCCCGGGCGCTGCAACGGCACTGCCAAACCCGTGGAAGGAAAAATCTTATCCCCCAGGTCCGGCCCTCCCCTAGGTCGGCTCGGCCATAAAATCATTTCCCCCCCTCTTCCCCCCCCCCGGCTGCAGCGTCAATGAAACACCTGCACCGGCGAGACCCAGGTGTGGGCCGTGTGGTGGTGGTGGTGATAGCCATGCACGAGCGAGCGGGCGGATCTGGCCTTGATCGGCGCTGCTCACCAACAGCACTTACCCCCAGCGGCCTGTGGAGGTGAGCGGTGCTCGCTCACGGCAACTTGGCCCCCGACAGTGGCTGCGTTGGCTACGTGGGGGAGGAGAAGGTTTTGTCACCGTATGTGGTGCGTTCAGCTCTGCACGTGGACATTTGTAATGCCCGCAGGTGCTCCGATGTACATTATCAACGTGTGTGTGTGTGTTTGTTATTGTCCGGATTGCTAAAGCACGGCAAGTTGTTACCGTAGGGGGGCACAGGTGGTGCATCGGCCAGTCGTCTGTCATCTCGGTCGGTCGACCCGTGCCACCTGCTGGGTCTGCCCCGTGACCTCCTGCCAGCGGGCGTCGTTCGTCACTTCGCGTGGCCTCAACGTGCACCTAGCCTGGCACGAGCGTCGTGGTGACGTCACCGCCACTTGGTGACGAACGGCGGTTGTTGTTGTTGTCCACGATTGTATATGGTGAAGTGTCCAGCTCCCAAGCGACTGAATTTCTTGGTGCCCAAGTGGGGATTGTCTTGTTCACGGACGCATTTCACGACTGGGATGGCGTCCAGATGCCAGGGACGGACAGACGCCGGCCTTGTAACGGAGAGCACCTTTTTTGAATCTCTGCAGCCACTGCTGAGTATTGGGGACACGTTTTGAAAAAACTTTGTCGTGTATACATTGAGAGAAAAAAAGTTCTAAATACTAATGATGTAGTAATAATAATTAAAACAAGTATTTTGCTCCAATTTAAAATATAATGTGCGTCCATAATTTCCGGCCAGGGTTCGATACCCTGACTAGGGCACACTTTCTGCATGGAGTTTGTATGATCTCCCCCTGTTCTACAGAGTGAGTGGAGTTTGTGTGATCTCCCCATGTTTGAGTGGACTTTGTATGATCTTCCCCTGTCCTACAGAGTGAGTGGAGTTTGTATGATCTTCCCCTGTCCTACAGAGTGAGTGGAGTTTGTATGATCTTCCCCTGTCCTACAGAGTGAGTGGAGTTTGTAGAACAGGGGGAGATCATACAAACTCCACTCACTCACTCTGTAGAACAGGGGGAGATCATACAAACTCCACTCACTCACTCTGTAGAACAGGGGGAGATCATACAAACTCCACTCACTCACTCTGTAGAACAGGGGGAGATCATACAGAGTGAGTGAGTGCAGTTTGTATGATCTGCCCCTGTTCTACAGAGTGAGTGAGTGCAGTTTGTATGATCTGCCCCTGTTCTACAGAGTGAGTGAGTGCAGTTTGTATGATCTGCCCCTGTTCTACAGAGTGAGTGAGTGCAGTTTGTATGATCTGCCCCTGTTCTACAGAGTGAGTGAGTGGAGTTTGTATGATCTGCCCCTGTTCTACAGAGTGAGTGAGTGGAGTTTGTATGATCTCCCCCTGTTCTACAGAGTGAGTGGAGTTTGTGTGATCTCCCCATGTTTGAGTGGACTTTGTATGATCTTCCCCTGTCCTACAGAGTGAGTGGAGTTTGTATGATCTTCCCCTGTCCTACAGAGTGAGTGGAGTTTGTATGATCTCCCCCTGTTCTACAGAGTGAGTGAGTGGAGTTTGTATGATCTGCCCCTGTTCTACAGAGTGAGTGGAGTTTGTATGATCTCCCCCTGTTCTACCGAGTGAGTGAGTGGAGTTTGTATGATCTCCCCCTGTTCTACTGAGTGAGTGAGTGGAGTTTAAATTTTGATTTAAAGCTTTCGTGACTGCAGTAATTCATATTCTTAGCTCTTTCGGTAGTCACGTTGAAGGGAAACAATAAAATAATAAAATATATATAAAACAATAATTCTCACGACGTTTCGACCATAACACAAACGGTTGTCATCAGGTGTGTCGTTTTGCATTAATGTATCTATAAACGGTGTATGTATTTATTTAAAAAACGTCAGCGCCACGCGCAGCGATTTAGCAGTTTATTTAGAAGGACTAGTCCATCTATGTTCTGAAAAGAGGAGGGGGGAGACGAAAAATTAATGTATGCTGTCTGAAAGCCACTGTAAGCGTGAACAATCAATTAAGACCTGAAATGGTTTATCAAATTTTTCCAAAGGTTGCTAAGATAGAATCCATCTTCTCGGTTGAAATTGTCTGTGCTTGTATATGTGGATAGCCTCATGAACGAATCTCTCATGGTAGCCAGATGGCTTACAAAGAACCTCAGTCTTGGAAAAGTCAATGTCATGTGAGCCTACTGAATTATAACAATGATCTGCCACGGCCGAGGTGTTGGTCCTACCGTGTTTAAGTTCTGCTTTGTGTTCACGAATGCGGTCCGAGACATGGCGTTTGGTTTCTCCAATGTAACACTACGACAGAGACAACTTAGTTTGTAGACACCAGGGTACTGTATGTCCGGAATCACATCTTTTGCAGACGGAACCAGATCACGAATTTTATGTAATGTGTTGAAACGGACCTGGATCTTGTGTTTATTCAAGATTTTGGAGATCTTTTTTGTGATCCCAGCAATGTAGGGTAAAGTGATGGTTTTGAAAGGCTCCTCAAGAGGGTTCTTCTTCATGGTTTGAGTGATAGCTTTGCGGATTGTATAGTCGGAGTAACCATTAGCCTTAAGAGCTTGGTGTACGTGCTTGAGTTCACTGCCTATGTGTTCCTGGTCAGATATGCATTGGGCTCTATGATACACTTGATGAGAGAATTCTTCTGTGATGGATGGTGGTGGGAATCCGGTTTCAGATAAGCATCCGTATGGGTAGCTTTCCTGTAGACAGAGTGGCTCATTGAACCATCAGGTCTCTTTTTAATTAGGACATCCAAAAAAGGTAGCTTGCCATCTTTTTCGACTTCCATGGTAAATCTGATGGCTGGGTGTATGGAATTGATGTGGTTGAAGAATTGGTCTAGAGCAGGCCGGCCATGTGGCCAGATGACAAAAGTGTCATCCACGTACCTCTTCCATAAGGTTGGGCGCAGAGTGGCAGTCTGGATAGCGTCAGTCTAAAATTTCTCCATGAAAATGTTAGCTATAACCGGAGATAGGGGGAGCCCATTGGGGTGCCCTCAGTTAGTTGGAAGAAAGTTCCATTCCAAGTTAGGTATGTATTGGTTAAACAGTCTCACCAGGGGGGGTACCTCAGATGAACCAAGTCTTCAATGATTGCGATGGTGTCAGGTACAGGAACCTTGGTGAATAAGGAAGCTACATCAAAACTGACAAGCAGGTCGTCTGGGGACAGGGAAATATCCTTGATTGTCGATACCAGGTGAGTAGAATTTTGTACCGCAGAGGTGGTTTTTCCAGTGAAAGGCCGCAGGATTTCAGACAAAAAACGAGCCAGTTTGTATGTGGGGGAGTTGATGGTAGAGACGATGGGACGAAGGGGTGTATCTACTTTATGTATTTTTGGTAAGCCGTATAATCTTGGTGGCCTGGCACCAGAAGTTTTCAACGAAAACTGTTTAGATTAATCAATTAATGTGGTTGAATCAGAAATTATTTTGTTGGTTTGTGTGACGAGGCTGTTGGTGGGATCTCTTTTTATTTTTGTATAACTACCGTCGTCGAGTAATTCTTTAATTTTGTTGTTGTATTCTATTTTATCCATGATGACAGTAGCATTGCCCTTGTCAGCTGAGAGGACTACAATATCATCCCCCTTTTTTAATTTATATAATTCAAAACGCTCATTTTTGCTGAGGTTGCTAGCTGGCATCGTAGCGTTTGAGGGTTGCAGCGATTTCAGATCTTGCTACGTCTGCAGCGATGTGACCCAGGCCCCTGAGAAAAACGTCTACTTGGGCAATTATATCATTAACTGGTATGTGTTTAGGTGTGACTGCAAAGTTTAGACCTTTAGCTAAAACGGATTTCAGACCATCGGAAATATAACTGTTACTGCGATTAATTACGACTTTGTTAACGTCTACTAACCTTTTGGTGTGTGGGTCCGGTCTTTTGTTGAAGAGGTTAAATTTGGAAATCAGGTTGTCCTTACATTTGGTCGACATAGTAGCAGCTGAAGAGGCAGTCATATTGTCTACATGTTCCCTATGGGGAGAGTTTTCACATAACTTTAAGATCCTTCAACAAACTCCGGGATAAGAAGGCTCAGCTGATCGAGTCTCTCACCTTTCTGAAGAGATGCCGCGACTCTGGGGTAATACCAATCGCA